TCCACTTTAAGAGAATCGCTCTGCAGACATCAAAGAAAATGCTTAAAATGACAATCCAAATCCATTCCCTTCAGGATTTCCAAAAGGAGCATTTTGGGGTCCAAACCAAGAGTTGAGTCACAGAGCCTATTAAGGTCAGCCACCACCACCACTCAGAAAGGTCTAATGGAGGGGCAAGCCCATACCATGTGTATAAACCATGTGTAAGAAGGAACCTAGGGAGAAATGGCAATGTGTACAGGAAAGTTCAGTCAAATAGTAAAAAGCAACTGGTTGTTGCAAGGTAAAAAAAACTCTATGGAGAAAGTTTAATTGTATAAACCAACCTTTAGGAGAGATCATATGTGTGACATAAGGACTGGTGCACATTTCCTATTCTTCCGAATCAAGATCAGGCAGGTCACCTTTCCATTTCTGATAGGTACAAGCTAAGTTAGTGGTATAAGTTAGGGCCAGCCTAAGATATAGAAAATAAAAGGAATTCCCCAGCACACTTGAGGTGAGTTGTCGTTTGGTAGAGTCAGACTTCGAGGTCTCAACTGCAGATACCTAAAGAACATATTATTAGGAAGGTTACATATAGCCTTGAGATTAGAAAATCCTATTTGTCTCCTGTCTGACATATTTTCATGTGCTTCAGGCCAACTACTACTCGCTGACGTAGTTTTACTTACATTTCATATTTGTAGGATACTTGTTAGTAGACTCGAAAGGGAAGACACAGAAGCCAAAGATAGGTTCCATTAGTAGGTATCACAAGTAAAGGTGTTCTTTCATACTTCACTGTTTATTGGCCTACATATACAGGCAGTATACAGAACTTATTTTCGACTTGTGTGACAGCAATAAACTGCCTAGAAACATAAAACAAAGTACAAAAAAATCTTTATATACTAAACAACTAAAAAAGATGCCAAAGAGGTTACTGTGTTGGAATAGCTTGCTCCCTTATGGCAAGGGAGCTTATTTTACCGTAGTCTCAGCAGTTATGCTACATTTGTTGAATTGACCACAGTGGTCTTATTTTGTTTGAAAGGTGCCCTTTTTAAAAATAGGATGGAGTGCTGTTACAAAGAGCTGATATGTACATTATTTGTGTGTTTCTAACATATATTTGCTTTATATATTTGTTATACTCTGATGCCTTTTTGGTGAAGTAATTACTATGGTCCCCTATACAATGTATAGGTTGCAGGCCTCAATGGCTGACAAGTACACAAAAATAAAGATGAAATAATTGTTCAAGAAACAGAAGCATGATATGTAGAGGTAACAAAATTCAAAGCAGTTGGCAATTAGCCGATAACATATAATACAGTTTGTGGCTGACAGATGACAATCAGAAATAATGAATCAGACAAAAGTCAGGATAGCTGAAAGATATGATATAATCCAGAATGAAAAACGAGGGCTCTAACATAAGAGCCCGAAAGCATGGGCATGCGGACGCCACTCCTTATTAATTAAAAAAATAAAAATAAAAAAATATCCTCAGAAATAGGTAGGAATTAGGGTAAGGCCCCACTGAGAAATTAGACAAGGAAAAAAACAAGAAGAGAATACCCACGTGACCTTGGAAAAAGTGGGAAAAATCACAAGACCTGGAACACTGTGGAATTTTAGGGGCTCATTATATAAAGGGCACACTGTGACCGATTTCTCCACAGTTGGTCAGAGTTGGCCAATGAGCTCCCCAACCTCCTTCCCTTGTCGCAAGGCACTATTTATGTGGTTTGTGTCACCTTTTCTATAGAAAAGGGGGACTTATTGATAAAATTATTTCAGATAGCTCGAGTCCTTAAAGACTGAGCAAGTTTATTCATGGTTAATAATTAAAGTGTAGGAGGTTTGAATAAATTATATTACAAATTTAATTTATGTTATGTGAAATTACCAATAAAAGTGCCACGGCCAAAATTTTATGCCAAAAAAAAAGAAATATTGTGTGTGTGTCATTATTTAAATTAAGTATAGATATTTGGGGAAGAGGGATAACGTGTGGCCTGCATTCCCATGCAGACCAGAAGCAGGATATAAGAGGCCCAGCCAGGGGTGGACTGACAACTCATGGGGCCCCCGGGCAATAAGGGATCATGGGGCCCCTGTGTCCTTGCCCAAACTCAAAAAAGCCTATGAAAAAGGTACCAGGGGAATCTCAAGGGGCCCCCTACTGACCCCGGGCAGTGCCCGAGTTTCCAAATGGTCAGTCCGCCCCTGCGCCCAGCACACAGCACAAGTAGCAAAGGACCAAGAAACAATTGAGTACTGTCTGTGATACTTTTTTTATTTGCACTAATTGTCCTCAAAATTGTATGTTAGTGCAAATAAAAAATGTTTCACGGACAGTACTCAATTTTTTCTGTCGCAAGTACACTAATACGGCTACAATCACCTCAAGCAAAAAGAACCAAGAGGAATCTTTATACTTGTCATATGGTGAGGTCAGAGGTACAGTACATTTGTCTGTGTCTCTAACAATACGTAGTCTTTATCCAGCCAGCAGGCTTAGCTGTAGGCTCATTTTCACATTGTTATCATTGTATCATTTTATCTGGGCTGAAAGCAGCCACTTGTTTACAGAACTTAATGAGCCACCAGGGCAGTTACTCATTCTTTATCATATGACGGAGTCCAGGTTCGAACCAGGCAAAGGACAGCCTCAAAGTAAGTTTTGTCTGCTATGGTGGGTTTTACATGGTAAAAAAAAAGTTTGATAGTTAATTAATTTATTAATTAATGCAATAGCAATACAAAAAGTTGTTATTTTTGACAATCCAATATAAGCTTGAAAAATGTCCTTCATGTTGTGAGTGCTGCCTGCCTGCTGGCCATCTGTTCAAATAACTTCCTGGATTTCCTGCATGCTTTGCAGCTTATCCCCTGCTGGTATCTTTGGTTTTTACCTTAAATATCCCATGGTACCTTGTTGATGCTGCCTCTTGAAACCCCCCCTCTCAGCATGTCTGTAGTTCAGAAGTCAGGCTCTGTGAAATGTGTGACACAGCAGTGTCTACTAACAGGGCATAATGAATGTGTTACAGAATTCAAGAAAGAAAATGTGTGGTTGGATCTTCATGTAAGGAAAATTACCTTACAAACTTCGAGATTATTCAGAATAATAGGAGTAGGGTATAAATTATTGAAATACAATGTGGAAATTAATATTTGATTTTAAATGTTGACCATGGATACGCTTCGCTTTACCTCAGTAAATGTTCTATATAAAAATGTACCATAAAATGTTGGTAGAAATAAATTTTCAGCAAATAAAAAAATGTATAGCTACTGTGGTGTTAAAATGAAAGGAAACACTAAGGCAACATAAACAAAGTTACACACATAATTATTATGCTCATTTTCTTTTAAAGTGTACAAATCTGACCTCATAGCCAGTGTAAAACCTTTATTTCCAATATTTAAAGGAAAAGTGGTTACTATTAAACAGAACCAGGATTGCACATTGTAGGGTTCTCCCAAATTCCTCTTTGAGTAAGAGACAGGTGTTTGTGATGTCAGGTGTTCAGGTCAGGGCCAATTTGTCTCATGATTTGCCAAGACATCTCTGAACTGTATACCTGAAAAATGTTTGCTTCTTGTCAGATAAGGCAGAGTGCTAGTAGAACAAAGCACCGAACCAACAGAATAGCGCTTATAAAACTGCCATGCACTTTAGTAAACCCTAAGGTAGGGTTCAATAAGTCAATTAAAAGGGGGCTTTTCCTTTAAAATCTGTCTATACAGGAAAACCAATATAGTGAGTATGCAATGATGTTTTTTTCCCTTACTGTACATGTGTAAGAACAGCGTTTTTAAGTTTGCTCTAGATGTGAGGCACAACAGAATGTCCTCATGTGCCATACATATTATCACTGCAAGAAGGAGTCATGGCTTAAATGTTCATCTAGGGGTATTGAATAAAAACTCAAGGAGGTCCGGTCAATAAAATCTTCTTCTGGCCGAGGTCCAAAAATAAATGTCCCCATTAGTGTTCCCCCTTATATTAGGTTCCCCCTCCAGAGTAATTTATTATATTGGGTACCACCATCAGACTTCCCCCATAAATCAGTTGCCACCATCAAAGTACCTCCCTGTATAAGGCGTTCCCATCAGAGCGCCCCCTTAAGTAATGTGTTCCCATCAATGTGCCCCCCCATACATCAGGCATTTCGATCAGAGTGCCCCCTTACATTGCGCATTCTACTCAGAGTGTCCCCTTGCATCAGGCATTCCCATCAGAGTGCCCCCTTACATCAGGTTTCTGCATCAGAAGGCCCCCTTACATTTGGTGTCTCCCATCAGTGTGCCCCCTTACATTAGTTGTCTCCATTAGAGTGCCCCATTATATAAGGTTCCTGTTAGGGATCCGGGTATGACCAGAAATGTGTGGACTGACACAGGGAAACACAGGCTCCAGGTATAGTATAAACAATACAATTTATTAAAGACTAAACAATACATAAACGCAGTGCAAGACTAAACATAAACACAGTGCAACCAAACCTCCAACAGATAACAATAAGAACAATACTAAACGTAGTCAGGCAGGCCGGGTCGGTAGCAAACGGGCAGGCAAGGTACAAGGAGCAGGCGGAAGCGTAGTCAGGAATAGCTGAGGTCAGGACAGGCAGAGTCAGGATTAAAGCAGGATCAGGCAGGAAGCAGACAGGATGCAGGTACAGGGGCTCATGGGAAACATACACCAAGGCCCTGATCACAGGCATGGCCATTCCTTAAATACAACTGCTGTAATCAGCCTCAGGTGATGGCTCATTGCAGGAGTGAGCCTCTGGTTGCTGAGAGAGCACCCGCTGGCCAGCCCTGGTACTGCAGCCCACAAGGCAGGTAAGTCCCACCACCACTGGCAAGTCCATTCCTGACAGTTCCCCTGTCACGGTGACACCTTACAGAGGGTGTGCCCATCAGCATGCCCCCTTACTTTAGGTGTCTCCATCAGAGTCCAACTTTAGATCATGTATCACCATCACATCAGGTGTGCCCATCAGAGTGCTCCTTTATATCAGTTGTCCCCAGCAGAGTGGCCCTTTACATCAGGTATTCCTGTCAGAGTGCCCCCTTAGACTCAAAGTACCTCTTTCCATCATATTTTCCCATCAGAGTGCCCCTTTACATCATATTCCCCATAAGAGTGCCCCTTTCCATCACATGTGCCCATCAGAGTGCCCCTTTCTATAGTATGTGCCCCTATGTGCCCCCTTAACATAACATGTGCCCATCAAAGTGCCCCTTAATATGAAATGTGACATATTAACCAGACCATTCCCCCACTATTCATCCTGAAGGATCCTACTGTGTGCTTTCAGCTGCTGGGTAGGAGAGGAGGCAAGTCGTCAGCACTGTGGGGGTGGGGGCACACAGGGGGGCTTGGGAAGCAGGGGAAAATATATGGTGCATTGTGAGGGTTATGGGTGCTGCAAGGGGGGGGGGGGGGGATTTACTGGAACTGATCCCCTGTATGGCTCTCTCTACAGCAGCTGAAAGCCAGTGGGAGTGAGAGAAGAGGAAGCCAGATTTCAGCTGCTGCAGAAGGAGCCATACAGGGGATTGGTTCCAGTAATTGCCCCCTATGCTGTGCTGATCATCCTCCCTGCCCACATCTGATTCACATAGTTGCCTGGGCCTCCCTGCTAGCCTGGGCCCCGTACAGGAGAACTGGTGGCACCCTCTTATCCACAGCCCTGCATCTGACAGTGTACAAGGGCATGAGCGCACACTCCTCCTCATCCCCACATGGGCACCAGCCATAGGACTACGATGTTCCAATACAATATGATTAGATAGAGCATAGGGTCATTCAATTCTAAAAAAACTGGTAGGTTCACAAGAAGTTTAAAGACAGCTGAGCACTGATTTTAATTTGTTTTGATTGTTCCTTATTTTGTTGTTTTTTTCAGCCAGTACTATGTCAGCCTCCCTGACACCTTTTTCTGAACTTTTTCTCTGATCAACTCACCATTTCTTTGTCAGGAACAACACTAACACTGTCATCTCTAGGTCACAACTAAGTATTGCACAAAATATGTAACAAGGAAGAGCAATTGCAATACCATCAACTAGTATTGTACTTCTCTAGTCATACAGATCATCAAACTGTTTTTATAGAACAAAAAACTTATTGTACTGTGACACATATGCTTTTCATACAGCCACTCAAAACATCAGAGTTAAAATAACAGTGCTGTAAGTTTTCAGCGGAGAAATGGTTAAGCTCCCTGCAGTTAGAACATTACGTGCCTAAACAGCATTCCTTCAGAGAATAAGCCATGTATTCTGGAAAGCACTATCTTATTCTGACATCTTCACACATTCAGACCTTAAGGGCTATTGCAAGATCTACCAAGGTGGAATGTCAACTTTGAAGAACTTCAGTGTGACATTAGTATTGAAAACATTATTGTGAGTGGATTAGTATTTTGGAATGCCCATGAGTCACAGATGCATTGGAAGAATATATAGATTATAGTGTGTCCTGTTTCTAGTACAATGCTCCATGCTGAACACTGATGTGCTGCAATTTACTGATCATTAATCCTTTCCTCCATCACATAGTTTTACCTTAGTAACAACTGTTAATACAGTCAACACACTCACTGTGACTTGTTCTGAATTGATAGGGGCAATTCTATTTTTGTCCCACTGCAAGAGAAATGCAAAGAAGCAGCACAATCACAGCGGTCCCACTATTATTATTATTATTATACAGTATTTATAAAGCGCCAATAGTTCGCTCAGCGCTGTACATTACAAAGGGGGACAGAACATGTGACAGAACAATACCAATACAATGAAAACATGAGGGGATTGAGGGCCCTGCTCTTTCGAGTTTACAATCTAGGAGGGAGGGGATGGTGGCACAGGAGGAGATAGCTGTGGGGGATGGAGTGGTAGGAAGAGTGGAGAAGGTCGGCAAGTTAGCAGGGGGTGGGGTAGGCTACCCTGAAGAGATGGGTTTTCAGGGTGCGCCTAAAGGAGAGGAGAGTAGGTGATAATCTGATGGGTTGGGGCAGGGAGTTCCAGAGGATGGGTGACACCCTGGAGAAGTCCTGGAGGCGGGCATGGGAGAAGGAGACCAGGGAACTAGAGAGAAGGAGGTCTTGTGAGGAGCAGAGTGTGCGTGCTGGGCAGTACTTGGATATTAGGTCAGTGATGTAGTACAAGGCAGTATGGTGGACAGCTTTGTACGTCAGTGTTAGGATTTAGAATTTGATCCGTTGCGCAATCGGAAGCCAGTGGAGGGATTGGCAGAGGGGGGTGGCGGAAACGGAGCGGTTGGAAAGGTGAATGAGTCTGGCAGCCGTATTCAGGATCGACTGAAGCGGGGATAACCAGCGGCGAGGCAGGCCAGTGCGGAGGGAGTTGCAGTAGTCGAGTCGTGATATGATGAGGGAGTGGATGAGCTGTTTAGTGGCTTCTGGGGTTAGGAACGTGCGTATTTTGGCGATGTTGCGGAGGTGGAGTCTGCACAAGTTTGTTAAAGATTGGACTTGGGGCTGGAAGGATAGGTTGGAGTCCAGAATGACACCAAGTACTCTGGCCTGCGGGGCAAGTTTGATGGTGGCGTTGTTGGATGTGATGGAGAAGTCAATGGGGGGTGGTGTCCGGGCTGGGGGGAAGACAAGAAACTCGGTTTTGGAGAGGTTCAGTTTAAGGAAGTAGAGCGAAATCCAGTCTGATATGTCGCTCAGTAGGTGTGTGATTCGGGCAGAGACCACTATAAATCAATATACACCACATATTGTGATGTAATTGTTAAAATGTATCTAAAGCCAAAAACCTTTTCTGTAGTCTTAAACAGAACATGCTAGTGTTGAGATTTATGTCAGGTTTGTATTGCTAAACTGAAGAAATAGCGAGCATCCTTAAACATGATATGCATTAAAAGCAAAGGTCTTATTAGCACAAATTTGCAAATCTATGTAAAAGCCACACTACTTCTTCAAGGCCCCTCTGCATATCATGATCTTTAACTCTAGTCTAACAAGTATACCTGAAGGTATCTAATTCCTCCTAAGGCAGTGTGACTACCACATGCGATTAACACATCCGCTTTTAATGAATAATGTTAAAGGATTGTTGGCTATTTCTATAATTTGGATTTATATATTGCCACTGTTTGCCATGCACCCTTCTAATTTAACTTGGGTAAAAGTGCAGGATAGGATGTTGAACATTAGGTTTGTGTTGCTGTTGATGTCCCTGCTGGGGGATTTTACTGTCTCTATTTTCTTGGTGACAGTTTCTACCAGAACTGAAAGTGAGAGAAAATCCAAAATGTTACAACTGTAACTGGAACAGAAGAATTTTTGTACTTACCGTAAAATCCTTTTCTTGGAGTTCATTGAGGGACACAGAAAGTCTTCCAGGTCATAATGCTGCCTACAGGTGGAACGGACACTGACTAGCAAAAAAACTTTAGGCCAGCCCAGGATAACCCCTCCCTACTACCAGCATGCTTTAGTTTTGTAGCAAAGCAGTACCAAGAGCATGATCATAAACACAGAGTAGCGAGACCAGTGTCCCTTAACAGACTTCAAGAAAACGATTTCATGGAGAGTGCAAAACTCTTGTCCAATAAAGTCTTACATTTTGGGACATTCAAAACCCATTCAACTGAGGGTTGGGAAACACAGATAACCAATGCTAACAGGCCAAAGAAAAAAAACAGAACTGTTGACTGCCAGCAGTTTAAAGAGCTGCTTAAAGGACCTTACATCTGAAGGTGGCATCAGATAAGTCCTGAACATCCACCTGCTAGAACTTAGAAAACGTGCACAGAGGACAAGGCAGTAGCCTTCAAAATCTGAGCAGCCCAATGCCAAAAAGCCAAAGAGACACACACAGACTTTGTAGAGTGGAACTTAAGAGGAAAGAATGGAAATCAATCTTTGAGGTTTGAATAATGATCTGTCTAAGCCACCCAGATATGGTGAACCACAAATGCAGACAATGGAAGGAAATCTCATTTTGATGAAGGGATGGAAGAATGATGCCTTGGTAGGAGTTGATAGGTGAAAATTACCTTAGGAGGAAAAGAAGTTCTGGCCTCAACACAAACTTGTCCTTTTGCAAAACTAAAAAAAGGTTCTTTGGAGAATATGACTGAAAACCTCAGATACTTTCCTCACAGAGGTGATGGCTACAAGGAACACCACATTGTGTCTTTATTAGGGTAAAAAATGCCAATTTTTAACCACAGTGAGAGCCAGATCAAGATGCAATGGAGTCACAGGGAAGTGAAGAGGAAGAGCTTTTTGGGAGATTCCCTGAACAAAGGTCTTAATCAATGAAGGAGGGGCTAATATTCTCTGAAACAACATAGAAGAAGCAGAGTGTAAGGGACCGCCCGGCGGTACCACTAGCACTCCACTGAATAGATGTCCCCAGTGCACGGAATCTAAGTCCTAGAGTGCTTGTTCACCAGGGCCCCTGATGGTGGGGATGGACTTGGAGCACCCCGAGACCAGGTCGTGGCTACTGGGTACGTCCGTCAGTGGTAGTGGTATGAGCCGAGGGCTCCCACGGGAAAGAGTCTGATATGAGGAGGTCTGAAGACCCCACTGCGAGGGATGGATGGATGAGCAAGGTCAGACAGGCCGGGTCGGTAACAGAGAGGACGGTAAGGTACAAGGCAGCAGGGCAGAGAATAGTCGGGTCACACGCCAGGTCAGCAACAGCAGGTCAAATCCAATAGGGGGCATCCAGGAGAGAGGTCAGGCAAAGCAAGGGTCAGGACAGGAGAATATAGCAAGGTCAGGTACAATCCGGGTCAAAAACTTACAGGGCACAGGTTCGCAGGATACAGGATGCCGGTAAGACCAGAAGGCACTGAATGACAGCTCAGGGCCATTTAAATATCCCGCCCTGCGCTGCCATTGGTGCCCAGCGGGCGGCCGCGGCTTCTACTGTGCATGCGCGAACTCGAACGCCGCGGCCGGCCCGGACCTAGTGCCCGTGTCCCTGCACTGGGCGGCTCACTGCGCCTGCGCCGGGACCATCACTGCGGGGATCGTGGAGATCCCTGATACAGAGACTTGACCACTAAAGGTGCTAAGAAACAAATACTTGTCCATAGCTAAAGAAAGGAGAGGATTAGTCTCCTAGGGTTGATCCCCATTGTTTTCATGTGCAATTATAGAACTTGGAAGAAGTAGACTTCCAAGCTTTTAACACTTTGAAAATGACTGATCCAGTGTTGTTTTTGTCTATCTGAACCTAAATTTCAACAGGAATGCCATTAAAGCCAGAGACTATGAAACAGGATGATAAATCTATTCCTGAGCCAAAAAC